TAAAAACTTTGATTTAATAATTATCCTTTAATTAAACCTTTAATTAAATTATTAAATCAATTAAGGATTATCCATTAAATTAAACGAATTAATTTAACCTAATCCCTTACCCCCTAGATTTCGAAAATGGGGAGGGATCATTATAAGATTCTATAATTATCTAGTTAACAATTAAAAGATAATTACCAAATATAAGTACCCTATCCAAAACCCTAATTTCGAAATCCATTACTTGGGGTGGAAGGCAAGGCTTTGAACCTTGACTAATATTCGAAAACCCTAGGGTTAGGAAACCCTAGATTTCGACTTTAAGGAGGCCAAAAGGAAAGGGTTTATAAACCCTTTGCATTTTCGAAAAAACTAGGGTTATAAACCCTAATTGCGAATATCACAAGCCTTAGGGTTATATTGCCATAAACCCTAATTTTGTCAAGTTCAATCAATCGCATCAAATATAATTGAAAACAACAACCAATTACTCTGATACCACTGATGGGTTATGAGCATACAAACAATCCTATGTGTGCATGCAACCCTAATGATTGGATCTAGGTTTTCTCTATTAGACATACAAGCATTGAACACAAAAACTAGAAACCCTAGGAGGCATGTACAATTTTTGAAATTAACATAAAACTAGGGTTAAGATACATACCTTTATTGTTATGTAGTAATAACAATGATTCCTTTGAAGATATTGACTTTGAGAACAAGTGCCACAAATGTAACACCTCTAATGGCTCACAAACACACCAAGGCAAGAGGGTGATTATGAGAGAAAGGAGAGATGAAGGAGGCAGTCAAAGTTTCGGCTCTTCTAGGGTTTCTTCAGATGGCCTAAACTTAGATAGGGCGATGCTCCTTTTATAGTCAAGGTTTCTTAATCCCAAAGCTAGGGTTTTCAGGTGGAAACCCTAATTTCTAACTTAAGGCCTAAGCAACCCATGAATCCACCTTCTTAAGGACTTAGACGAAATCCTAAGGGCCTCCCCTAGAAATTTCGGCCAACCCTTTTTAGGGTGATCCAAGAGCCCAAACCACAACTATTAATTAATTGCAAAACAGCCCATGTACTTTCAATTAATTCTTTTAATCCCAAAATTAATTCCAAATTAATTTCTGATTAAATATTAATTAATAATATGACTTCTAATTAATATATTATTTCCATAATATATTAATAAATCATTTATTTCAATTTATTAATCATATTAATAAATTCTTCCTCTTGCTCAATTAATCATCTTGTCTAGTTGCCAGTGTGAAGGCAACCCAAAAGGACTATGCTACTATCAATTCAAGTATATACCAAATATAGTTATGGACTTAGACATCCAATCCAACACAACCATCTCCAAAGAATTTATGTATTGATTGCTTAGTTTTTGTTGTTGAATATTGTTATTTACTTATGTTACAAATAAGGATATTTTAGATATTATCATTGATATTTTGATATTTAAGAAGGACATATATATGATATTTTGATGTTTAAAAAAGACATGATACTTTAAAATTTTATGAAGTATAAATATGATATTTAGAATTTAAGTTGGACAAATATAATATTTAATGTTTAATAAAGGTATATAAGAAATTCTAAAAAAAATAAATAAATAAAAAAATTAAAGTTTTAACTGAAAATTACCATTTTGGTCCAAACAAGTTTGGACTAACACCAGAGGTCCAAAGTTTTCATTTTGTTACGAGTTTGGTCCAATTTGTTTTAAAAATATTTAAAATGACAGATTTGCCCTTGGTATTTTCTTTTTCTATTTTTTGATTTAAAATGTTTTTCTGATTAAAAGAAAAATAAAAAGAACTCTCTCTCTCTCTCTCTCTCTCTATGCCCATCGGCATCACGAATAAGATGGGCATAGCTTCTAGCCCAAAATCCGTTGTTATACATCGGTTTTATGCCTCAATATTTCAATTTATACATATGCAAAGTTAGAGACATTAACCTAGTATCATGAGGTGTAAGATTTTCGATAAACGCTTCAATAATTTTCTCAATGTTTCTCTTGCGTCGCCGGAGAACAATGGCCTGAAAGTCACCGCCACTCTGCCAGAGTCCATCACCACTGCTACTCCACATGTTGCCACCACCACTTGCTGCGATGCCAACCCTCACCCAAACCACCGGTAAATCGCAGCAGTCGCCATCTCCTTCATATGTGTCGACTCTTAGGTCTTTAACAACATCCACCACTTGACCAAAGTAAAGGTACCTGGAGCGAAATCATGGATGAGATGGCCAAATCGGAGACCAAATTTGCAGAAATTGGCACTCTACAGGTATGTGTGTCTAGGGTTTTTTATTGGGGGTGAGAGAAGGTTAGAGAAGGAATATTCTGATGCCAAAACGACTTTAGAATTGCTCGAAGCAATCCCGACGATCTCGATTCTCAATTGCCGCTCTCTACAACCTTCTAAATCTCGGAATCGACAATGACTCGTAAGCACTTCCCTCCTATATTTAAACCAATCGATTTTCAGGAAACAATCGATTCTCACATGAAATCGATTCATGAAAAACACTGCTCAATCAATGTTGTTCCACTTCCCCCACATCGTCATCTCCTACAACAAGTGGTCACCTTTGATTGCCTTCCTCTTCTCCCTTTGGCACTTGTCGGATGCTTCTTCGATGATGAAACTGATGAACTCAATTCCGTTTTTGCTTATACCCATTTCAAGGAAGAGGGAAAAACGGCGAAGTTCTTTGAGATGGGAAAAAAGGATTGAAGATTTTGAAGGACGAGAGAGACCCTTTGTAATTAAATAATAAAATAATAGTAAAGTAAAAAAAGGAAAAAAGAAATATAAAGGGCAAATCCATCATTTGATTTTTATTTAAAATACTTTTGACCAAACTCGCAACAAAATGAAAACTTTGAACCTCGCTAGTCAAAATTTGTTTGGACCAAGAGAGCATTTGTGCAATTTAGAGTAAATTACACGAATGGTCCCCATGGTTTGAGGTAATTTGCACGTTTGGTCCCTAACTTATTTTTTAACTCAGAAGGTCCATGTAGTTTAGTTTTGTTTCAAACTTGGTCCCTAATCAACATAAAAAGTCTAATCTACCCTTAATACTATTTTTATTTTCTATTATATTATTTTTCATTTTTAAATTAAAACAAAAAGGAAAAAACCCATCGGCCACCCTCCTTCCCCTTTACCCCCCAAACAGATCGACTATCTCCCCCTCAGACTACACCCTGTCTTCTCCTCTTAATCGTCGACGCCATCTTCCTCGAAATCGACGACCCACCCGACCATAGTCACCGGCGATGACCAATACCCACTTTGCCGACCTATTTCAGACACTGATTCGTCTTTCAAGCGATAATCACATCTCTCATGATACTGACGCCAACAAGAAGAAGCAATATACTATGTGAGACCTGGCGTCCGACTGCTTATTCAACCAACAATTCCTGGAACCCGACGTCCAACGAACAAATCTTAGATCTCGAGGTTGCCTTGGCTGTTTCCCCTTCGTTTTCTCCCTACCATTATGCCCCATAAAACCATCGCGGTCAATTAGGGTTCAAAATAGCTGAAAAACCTAAAGAATATGTGATGTTCATGCTCCTGTTACTGTTAGTCGACATCGACTCTAGGTCTAATAAGTTGGGCTTCAAATCAGAAGAAATTTTGACTATTTGTGACCGATTAGGTTTCAAATCAAAAGAAATCGAAGTTGCATCAAATTTTTTTTTTGTCTATGTGTAAGTGTGTGTTTGTTTATATAGTGTTTGATTTCTTTTTTGATTTGGTTTTTGGATTTGATTTCTTGAATAACTTTGATCTCGTGAATGGATTTTTGGGTTAGCATTTTTTTCTTGGATTTTAACATCGGTGGTGTTTTCCAATTACAGAGGTAGCGATGGTGGTAGTCGGAGGTTAGTGGTGATGGTGGCCGGAGGTAGTTTTCCGTGACATAACACAATGAAGGGAAGGAGGGCCCGGATGGTTTGGTTTTTTAGTTTAAAGAACCAAAATATTTAACTCAATTTTTTCAACATATTTATTAATATTTTTTAATAATTAATAATGTAAAAAAGATAAAAGAAATGAAGTTTTTTTTATGTTGATTAGGGACCAAGCTCGAAACAAAACTAAACTTTAGGGATCTTCTGAGTTGGAAAAAATAAATTAAGGACCAAACATATAAATTACTCCAAACCATAGGGACCATTCGTGTAGTTTACTCTGCAATTTTAGTCTCTTTTAAATCCCGAACACCCTTTAGGTACCATCTTAGAAAAAAGTCCTTTTGACAGAAGACGCTTCAACTTGACAAAGAAAACCCTTCCTCTGGCCTTCTTTATCATCAGAGCTCCTCTCTCATCTCGCCTCCATCATCGATTCAGGTACGCTGCTGCTGTCTTCTCTTCTCTCTCTCTTCTCTCTGCTGATTCTAGGTTAATAGTATTGTTTTGTTTCTCCACCGGCATGCATTTTTTTCTCTGGTTCGTTTCATTTTTAATACAAATTGATTCTCCATCATTCGATTTTGGTATCAAGCAATCTCGTATATGTTTAATGTGTCTCTTTGTTTTGAGCTAGGCATGTTTTATAAATTTTGTTTGAAATCATTTACGCCTTTCATGTGTTCGACAAAATGCCCCAGTCAATTATGCCTTTCACGTATGTCAATCGATGTCAGGGATGAAAGAGCAGTATTTATGCGTTATTATGGAGGAGAATATGAAATTTAGGGTATGTTTTTCAGAAATTAGTAGTCTCACTATATCTTGTCACTCTTAGCTACCACTGTTTATCAGTATTGGTCCTATTGTGTTAATATTGAAGTTGGGTGTGCTTTTATATTGCAGAAATCTGTTATGGTTGATGTTAAATTCGTGTGGTTGGTGGATTGATATGATTATTGCAATTGAATAACCTTTTTCTCATAAACCCCAATTAGGGTTTTCAATCAAGTTCATTTTCCCTCATTTTCAGGTATTGGTGAAAGGAAGGGCTTCTGAATGGCACCACTTATAAACAGGTTTCCATTTGTAGCTACTCATTTGAAGAGAATGATAGCTAAGCTGAACGCAAATGATGAGAAACACACAATAAAATCATGGTCACGTGCATCTATGATCATACCCGAAATGGTGGGCCATCGTATTGCTATTCATAATGGAAAAAAACATCGTCCTATTCAAATAAAAGATGCCATGGTAGGCCACAAATTAGGGGAATTTGCACTTACACGTGCACGTAAGCCACAGAAACCACAAAATGTGAAAAAACCTGCAAAAAAGGGTAAATGATCAAAAGATTGAATCACTTTACTAAAACTTGTTACATTGTTAGATTGTATTTTGCTTTTGGTTTACCAGCATTTTCTTCTGGATCATTCTAAAATTTTGTCTCACATTCACACTTTATTTTTGTAATAAAGCCTACTACATTTGAACTTGTGTTGGTTTTAGCATTAAACATGTCTTGTTTTCTATGTGTGTTTCATTAGCATGAAAATTGTGATCATTCTTTCGTTCCAATACAGTTAGATGAGGGGACATTTACGTCTTTTCCATTGGGATATCAAGAGCGAGTCTTTCTTTGTCCACCTTGCTCTACCTTTTTGACAGCAATTGACATTTTTTATATCAGCCCTTGAATTAAACCTCTTCTACTGACGGATTATTCAAAACTTTAGTTTCCATGTAGGATATTCACGTGTAATTTAATGCTGATGTGTCAATTTATTTATTTTATTATAAATCACATCAGGTTTTTCGGGAACTCAGAGTTACCCGAAATCATTTTCACCAATAAAAATATAATTCACTACATAAATTATCTAAAGTACAATGCCCTAAAAGGAATAAGTAGGAAAACTAGGCTCTTATACGGAAATATAGAATTACAATACTATATTAAGGAAAAAAAAAATTAGAAAATGCATTACTATTTCTTACATTTTGCCCTACATATGTTGCATAGCTTGTTTTTACTTTGAATCAGATATAATCACCTTTAATAAAAGTAATGTATGTATGTGGTTTACTGCTAATTATCACTTTTGATGATGGTTGTAAGTGTTTGTAATATTAGGGTATATAAGTAATTTTTCTTGACCAAAATAAAGGAAAAAAGTAGATTGGTGTCCTTTGAGTTGGGAGATTGAGCCTACTAAAGAAAGAGATTTTTTTTTCTGAGGTATGCATGCATGAGTTAGCTAAAAGTAGCAACATGCTTTTGGCTATTTGCTTTATAATATAAGTAGACATTCTAGTATTCTACTTACGGTTTGTTTTTTTTTTTCATACTTTTTAAAAATATACCAATTGTTTTTATTGGATAGATTTCTCAAAGTATAGTGTTGTAATAGGAATAAATGAAGTAGGATGCTATAATAAACAAATAAAAAAGTTTTTTTTTCTTTTTTTTTTAGTTCAACCCAATTAGATACTAATAGCTTCATGGATCGGCATTTTTTGGTTTTAACGTATATGTGTGTTGTTCCATTCCTTGTAGTTCCAAACCAAAAAACTTGACTTTTGAGCTTAAAGTACATTGCTTTACTAATTTCTCTTATTAAATAAAGTATTGAAACTATCACTTCATATCCTTTTGGGGTTAATGCAGTAAAAGGGTAATATACTTTTTGATTTGTGTATATTTGGTCATTAACTTTTTTTTCGTCCACATTTGCCCTTTCAACTTGTTTAACTGTACACATTCAGCCTTTATGACCGGCTACTCCACGTAAGCCGAAAAAGAATGTCTTAGTAGGGTAATATATTTCTTATTTTGTACGCATTTAGTCCTTAATATTTTTTTGCACATTTACTCCTTAATATTTTTTTTGTTGCAAAATAAGTCATTGTTGTTTTTGTACATATTCAATACTTATAACCGGTTTCCTTAAGTTTTTCTCACGGTATCCTACGTGGGAGAATCATTACTGATGCGTTCGGGGTTGTTGATGCTTATAGTCATTGCGTCCTCGATTGCTTAGGTCTTGTGATTTGGGTTAGATCTTGTGTTTTGAACGTCGTAACTTCTTCATACGATATCAGATTTTAATGATCTTTATATCCACACGTTCATATTTGAGTCTACTATAATTTTCTTTAAATTTAATCCCGTTAAAAACTAATATATTTTTACTTACGCTTTTATAAAAAAATGTTCATACATACATTTATAAAAAAACACATGTATATAAGTGGGTAGGGCATTTGGGGTCCCGGACCACTACTCTGATTTAGCCCCGTAGGGTAAAAAAAATATATTACGTGCACCACCTTCGTATATGAGCGACACAACTATTCAAATGTTCTGCGTTCGCCACTGATGTATATACAGATCATAAGTAAAAATATATTACTGTTTAACGGGAGTAATCTGAAAGAAAGTTATAGTAGACTCAAATACGAATGCGTGGATATAAAGATCTTTAAAATCTGAGATCGTATGAAGCAGTTACGACGTTCAAAACACAAGACCTAACCCGAACCACAAGACCTAAGCAACAAAACAGTCGAGGACGTAGTGGCTATAAGCATCAACAACCCCGAACATATCAATAATTATTGTCCCACGTAGGATACCATGAGAAAAACTTAAAGAAACTGGTCATAAGTATTGAATGTGTTGCAACAAAAAAAATATTAAGGATTAAATGTAACACCCTTAAATTACAACCCCAAAATTTCATTTTTAATTTTAACAATCATAAAACAAACCATTTCATTTTTCCCAAAACCATGAAAACATAAAATAGTTTAGTTGTGCAATCCATGATACATATAAAATTATCATCAGAGTCATAATCCCAAAATCACTGGTGCGGAAAATCCATCGTGTGATGCGATACGATCAAACCGACCCTTTTCCCTTCGAGCTAGAAGTACCTGAAACAAAAACTGAAAACCGTAAGCACAAAGCTTAGTGAGTTCCCCCATCATACCACATACCATACAATAACATACTGTCTAACATATCAGGGTGCTGACCTACCCCTTCAGTCTCTTTCAACCGGTAACCGCCTAGCATATCAGGGTGCTAGCCTACCCCTTCGGTCTTTTGCAACCGGTAACCGCCTAACATATTAGGGTGCTGGCCTACCCCTTCGATCTCTTGCAACCGGTTACGGGGACTATTTCACCCCCTACTACTACCACATAATAGCATACATAATCATACTGCCAGACATATTTGGGTACCTGACCTACCCATTCGGTCTTATTGACCGGATACGGGGTCTATTTCACCCCTTACCATTATCACATAATACTATAGCATACTAGCACATAAATCATAAAAGATAGTGGCATACCAGATAATTATCACAAAGACAATTATCTAACTACATACTCCTACTAGTGGGCCGGCCTTGGTGCCTTAGACCCACTGCTACCGGGAAGGTAACTCACCTCGCAAGGCTGAATGAAAAAACTCACGGCAAAAATCTCTAACAGCTTCTCCGACGACTCCCCAAGTTATCAGTACCACAATAACACTTAGTCAAAAACTAATAATCCTTCTTAGGGTAAAATAACCATTTTACCCCTGATCTAATTTGGCCAATACCTAAGGCCCAACACCATAACATGAAAGGCCCAAATCTAAATGGTCTTCCCAAGCCCACTAGTGGCCCACTAATGGCCCAATTTTCCAAATTGGGCCTAATTCCTCAAATGGGCCTTAACTCAAGGCCAACATACTCTTAGCCCAAAATAAATAATTTCTAATGGCCCATTATGGCCCAAAAGGCCCAATACCATAAATCTCAGTTCTAGGCCCAAAGGCCTTATTCCACAGTGGGCCATGAGGCCCAACAATCTAGGCCTAAACTTCTAAGGCCCAAAAGCTCATATTCGACACTCTGCATGCGTACGCGCGGCGTACCTGGCACGTACGCCCAGCGTACGCTGGCCTTGACTAGAAGCGGGAAGTTGACCTAGTACGCACAACGTACCAGGGTATACGTCCAACATACTGGCCAGCTTCCTAAGGACTCCTTTTGTGACTTAATCCATTAAGTTCTAACGTCTAAAACATAGATCCAGGTCCTTTAAGACGTCCTAATCCATAAAGTTACAAACTTTATGTCTTTGCATGCATAGATGGGGGTTAAAACATGATTTAAGTCCTTAAGCAAACTTTTTGACCATCAAACACTTTCATGGTTGTGGCTTAACGATCAATGTCCGATTTATATAACTCTAAATGCCTCCAAGAGCTCAAAAGGACAACTCTTATGGTCTGGAACTACCAAGACTCAAGAAACCTCAACAATGGAGTCCAAAAGTGACATAAAACACCCCAAAACCAAATCTAAACATGCATTAGCCAAGTTTGAAGCTTGATACCTCAAATGAGTCAGAAATGATGCTAATCCCCTGGATCTACAAGCTCTCTTCAAGTCCTTGCTCATTCTTTAAACTTCTTTCTCTTCAAATTCACCAAAACAACACCAAAATGCTCAAAGTAAGCTCCAAAATGCAAACAAGAGGATTAGGGTTCGATTTGGGCACTGAGAGGGCAAGGGAGGCTGAGAGGATAAGGACTTTGAAGATTATAAGTTGTTTAAATAGGGTGCAAACCCTAAAATTTAGGGTTTGCATCTGACCGCCTTACGCCCAGCGTACGCTTGGGTACGCCCAACGTACGCTTGGGTACGCCCAACGTACGCATGGGAGTCCCCCGATCCGCTCCTCATATGTGTACGTCGCGCGTACACCTTGTACGCCCAACGTACGCTTTGCCCTAAAGATTCCAACACTTACTAATTAAACTTGAATAAAAGCAGTACAATACCTGATAAATCCCGGGCGTTACATTAAATGTGCATAAAAAAATTAAGGACTAAATGTGTACAAAATGAGAAATATAATTTTTTTTTTCAGCTTACCTGGAGTAGCCGACCATAAGGACTGAATGTGTACAGTTAAACAAGTTGAAGAGAAAAATGTGGACGAAAAAAACTCAGTAACCAAATGTGCACAAATCAAAAAATATATTACCCTTTTAAGTCATTATCCCTATCATTTTTTTTTACTTTCTAAACCGAAAACACACTGCTATTTCTTAAAAGAATAAAGTTATAGTATTAAATAGTTAATTGCTTGGATTTATCGATTATCTTTTATTATTTTTTGGTATGATAAGCATTTTGTTGAACTATGTTTATTAGTTTCCAAAGCAAAAACGAAATGGTTGATTTATATGTAATGTTATTGAAATAATAATTATAGTATATTACAACTTTTTAAGTCTTCTCTATCTCAGATAATATATAATTTTGCTTAAGCTAAAC